CTTTGATGGAAGGCAGTGTAAACTTTCAAGCACAACCATATAACCTGCTGCTTGTGCCATGGGGGAAATCAGCTTCAGTAAAAATGATGGCATCACTGGTTGATGCCATCCCTAGAGTTTTCCCCTAATATTATTCCTTTTATAATTGAAGAGCTTTCATTTCCTGCTAATTTTTGAGATAACCATCAATAAGGTTCACAGCTTCAAAATTTGCTGATGGTTTCTTATTTAACCTCCTTCACTGTACAAACCTAATGGAGAAAAATGCTTTTAGAGTGAAATGATTTTTTTTTTTTTTTACTAAATTACATAATTGCCTCTTGATATAACAGCACAATTAAAGATCATTTTGACAAATGCAAAACAACTGAGAGTAAAAAACAAAACAAGGGTGATTTACTTCCAAGGTAACAATGTATTTGGTATCACAAATTTTAGTACGATTTGCTGGATTAAACCCACCTAAACGTGATGCATTAGACCTCCTTAGATATGCTGATGTTTTCCTTATAGACTGCCCCACTAAATTCCAATTTTAATCACCCCTCTAAGTATCTAAGAAGAGGCAAAAAAGATGATATGTGAAGATGAAATGGAATTGGATCTACAGAGTTTAAATTTATCTTTTAAGCCATGTTTAAAAACCAGAAGAGTGTTTTTGGTTTGATTAAACCTCAGGTATATTTATATCCAATTCAAATGGGGGAAATCTGATTAAACTTTCCTCTGATTCTGCTGGTGAAACTGTAACTTAGGATGTTAATCATGTAATTATGCGTCATCAAGGCATCGAAACATTGGTGAGAGTCTTGACATTTTGCCTGTTTGCCTGTCTGTCTGAGTGACCTTTTTAATCCGCTGATGGCGATGAGCGGAGGACAGTGTGGCAGAGAAACAAGGGCCGGGGCATTGGTACAAAGAATCGTGTGAAACTCTGAGTCATTTGTCAATCTGTACCGAGGATCTATTTGCCCCAGCTGCCTCCCGATCTGTCTGTTCGGCAGTTTTATCTATCTGCTCCAGGGGCCTCTGCGGGGAATGGAGGTTGGAGAAAGTATGCACATCCGTCAGTCATTCTTTGGCCTTTCCGTACCCTGCCTACATACTGCTGATGGATATCTGTGTGTAGCTATATGTGTCTGTGTAAATGTACCACATTGGCATCTTTTCTGACCATCTGCTTCTCTCTCTAAAACAAACAAACAAAAAAATGTTAGAACTCTAAATTTACAGTCATTTTTACTATTTTTCAAGGCTGCACTTTTAAAAAGATGATACTGTCCAGTGAGCTGTTTCCAAAAGACATTTCTTTTTGTTTTACACTTGTGTAAACAAAATGAAAAAAAATAAAATCTGTCTAAAGTCCATCCATCCATTATCTGACACGCTAGGCGGGGTACACCCTGGACAGGTCGCCAGTCCATCGCAGGGCAACACAGAGAAATAGTCCAAACAACCATTCACACACACACCTAAGTAGAATCTAGAGAAGCCAATTAACCTAACAGTCAAGTTTTTGGACTGTGGGAGGAAGCCGGAGTACCCATGTTTTCCCTGAGAAATGCTCAGGGAAAACATGCAAACTCCATGCAGAAAGACTCGATCAAAACCTTCTTGCTGTGCTACCCACTGTGCCACTAAGCAGCCCTGTCTTAAGTCTAAAGTCAAAAGTCTATTGTAGTTTTTCTACTTTTGATTGAGTTTCATCAGAAGTTCATCAATAAATACATGTAAATCAGTGCTCATGTTTAC